TTATGACACAAATGTGCAGGATGCAGTCTTATGTTAGTGACACTATTAACTGATATCTTTAATCATAAATAAACTGTTAACACAGAGATATGTCTCACCTTTTTGTTATTTTGATACATGTAGTAAAATGCAAATGTTGAAATTAAAACAGCAATACTTTGACACGTAAGTTATGCAAAATATTCAGTCAATCATGACTGAAAATGAGATGTGCCCAACTGCCAATGCTAATATAACTGCATACCAAATATCATTGACCTACCACTAGAGGATCATCCCATAAACTGACCTCATCACAAACTAAAACATGTAAACTAAGCACAAGTTTCAAAGTCAATAGACCATGACTGAGGAGGCAGGGCCAAATAATCTCCATGGAAATGAGATGTGTAAATAATAATATAACTGCATACCAAATATCATTGATCTACCACTAGCGGTTCTCCATAAACTGACATAATTACAAACTAATACATGTAAACTAAGCACAAGTTTCAAAGTCAATAGACCATGATTGAGGAGACAGCGCAAAATAATCTCCATGGAAATGAGATGTGCAAATGATAATACAACTGCATACCAAATATCATTGATCTACCACTAACGGTTCCCCATAGGTGTAGAACCACTAATTCGGGCCCAGCCAGAAAGAACATACAAGAAAGTAGTATATATTTTAAATAAAATAGTTCTTAAGTATAGCTGTAACTTTGTCAATAAGTAAAATAGTTGGGTAAATTTGGTATCAAATGAAAGCTTAAGAACTTGGGATCACTGTAGGACCCTTATTGAAAGCTTATTTCAAATAATAAAAAAATATATGAAATTATAATAGGAGGACACATTTGCCCTGTTGTTAAGAACGGAAGTACTTGTTTTTGTACTACCAAACTTCCGGGAACCAGTGCGTTCTAATATGCAATTAAAAGTATTTTGAATTTTTCAGCACAAGTCAGGATAAGGTATAGTTTTGACATGAAATAACTACCACTTTATTTGAACTTAAGACAAAGTAGCCATTAATGCTTGAAATTGCAGAATTTAACATAGAAAGCCATGGGGCTAAGATTTAGTGGTGTTATTCCTATTACTGAAAGGCTCTTGAATTTCAAATTTTAGAAATCATACCCATTACAATGCAAATTGGTCACATTTATTGTTAGTAATCAAGTTGCATTTATTTTTTTATGTAAAAATTATGTTGGTGTCAAATCACAGCCCTCAAATTGCTACAGTAGGGAATATCAGCTTTTTCTGGTCATTTAGCATGCATACATTTAAGTCTTAACCTAAAGTTGAATTTTTTGCATTATTTAAGACTGAAATCAATGAAACATGTATATATTGACTGGTTTATAGTAAAAATTTAGCTTTTGGTTAAGTTATCTAGTGAGTTTTCAGGTTTTATTGGGTTTCTTAGTGTACAATAGGAATCCCAAAATCTCACTTCAACCAGTTTAGCAAGTTGTCTAGCTGGGGTGATAAATTGCTCTTGTTGATCCATGTTTCTACATAAAAGTATGGTTTTTACCAAAATAAACTCCTTTTCCAACATGTAGAAAAAAGGGGGGACAAAATTATCAATTATATTTTTATTTGGACCACTTTATCTACATTTGATGAACAATCTCTGATAAAAATAAGACATATAGGTAAGAACCTTATTATTTGAGTAGATATTAACAAACAAGAACTGGTAGTAATTGAAAAAGTTTCATATTGGTCACTATTATTATCCATATCCTGTTTTCTTCGAATAAAGCATATGTTACTACCAGTCCAATTTGAGCTTGAATTCAGTGATAAAGTGTTTCAACAAAAGCTTTATGTGTTTTTCTATCCTAGAAATAGATCATAGAAGGAAATTTAGTAAAGCAGAATTCAAAATAACAATTTTGGTGCTGTTATAGGTATAGAACCACTAATTCGGGCCCACCCAGTAAGAACATACAAGAAAGTAGTACATATTTTAAACAAAATAGTTCCTACGTATAGCTGTCACTTTGTTAATAAGTAAAATAGTTGGGTAAATTTGGTATCAAATGAAAGCTTAAGAACTTGGGATCACTGTAGGACCCTTACTGAAATTGAAATTGCAGAATTTAACATAGAAAGCAATGGGTCTATGAATTAGTGGTTTTATTCCATAAACTGACCTAATTACAAACTGATACATTTGTACATGTAAACTAAGCACAAGTTTCAAAGTCAATAGACCATGACTGAGGGGGCAGGGCCAAATATTCTCCATGGAAATGAGATGTGCCAATGCTAATACAACTGCATACCAAATATCTTTGACCTACCACTAGTGGTTCCCCCATAAACTTACCTAATCACAAACTAACACATTGTTGACGCCGCTGATCCTGGAAACATCATACCTATGTCACGCTTTTTGACTCTGTGAAGGTGAGACAAAAATGCAAAAAAAATTATCACCTTATTCTATTGTTAATAAATGGAAAATGTGTCCCCATGGACACAGATGATGCCCCCGCTTGCATACAACATTATAAGGGGACTTCAAAAACAATAAAAGTGACGCTTCCCAAATTTGTACTAGATCTGAGTTTTGTGGTAATAAGTATTGTGTATAGGTTTCATAATGTTTGGTTGGGGCAAACTTAAGTTACAGAACGGGAACTAAAAATTTTGCAATTTTTCCATTTGTAAAGGGCATAACTCTAGAACAGTTAAAGTGACACCACCAAAATTCAACTTGATCTGTGTTTTGTGGTAATGAGCATTGTGTATAAGTTTCATAACATTTGGTTGAGGCAACTTAAGTTAGAGAACAGAAACTAAAAATTTTGCATTTTTTTTTTCCATTTATAAAGGAGCATAACTCGAGAATGATTAAAGTGACCCCAACAAAATTCAAACTTGATTTGTGTTTTGTCCTTATAAGCATTGTGTATAAGTTTCATAACATTTGGAAGAGGCAAACTTAAGTTAGAGAACGGAAACTAAAAATTTTGTAATTTTCCATTAATAAAGGGGCATAACTCTAGAACGGTTAAAGTGACGCCACTAAAATTCAAACTTGATCTGTATTTTATGGTATTAAGCATTGTGTATAAGTTTCATAACATTTAGTTTAGGCAAACTCAAGTTAGAGAACGGAAACAAATTATGGGACGTACAGATGTACGTACGTATGTACGTAGACGGACAAGAGTAAAACTTAATGCCCCTCCGCTAAGGCGCGGGCATAAAAATGCAGAGCAAGAAATAACTTCAATATCAAAATAAAGAGATGTGGTTTGATTACCAATGATCAAGATATCCTCCAGAGATCAAATAATGTGGATGTAAGCAACTATAGGTCACTGTATGGTGTACAACAATGAGCAAAGCCAGTACTGTATAGTAAGCTATATAAGGCCCTCATATTACAAAATGTGAAACAATTCAATCGAGAATACCAATGACCTGACAAATGTTGATCCCTATCAATAGGAGTGGCTATATTGAAACGTCTCTTCTGCTTAAGGATGTAAGCAACTCTGTTTCAAAATAATAAGCTTTTTAAAATTTATGTTTTATATATAAAGGAATTAAAAAGCAGAAAGAAATGCAAGGTCCATGTCCTTGTTTTTGAGATATATGCCATTGAAAATTTCTCTCTAGATTTTTCATACAATTTACATTTGTCCCCCTAGGACATAACCTATGGTGAATATCTCCTTTTTATATAGAAATGTCTTATCAAGACAATATCTCCAAAATATGGTTACGGGGTGGGGGATCTGTAACATTTTTGAGATCTTTAATTATTTATTATATGAGGGTGAATGGCATGACCCACAGGGGCAAATCTTTAGTTGAAAGAATAAACATGGTTTTGGTGTGGACCTTGAAAGTCAAAGGTCATTGTCAGAGGTCTTCTATGGTACATAACACATCATTTTGAGGTACTGCCTTCATGTGCAAAATATGAAAAGCCACTGTCAAAGGATAAAAAAGTAAAGTACTAGACATGAAAACATAAAAAAAACAATCAAATGTTTTAACTTGAGGTCAGGAGTCAAGGTCACATGCAGGTCATGCTGATAGGCCGCAAACCATCTAATGATTGAACATACATGCCAAATATGATAAGCCAGTTTTAAAAGTTATGTACTCTAGCTTGATGATAAATATTTTAAAAGTAATCAATAAAATTGGCTTCAATATTAGTTTTTATGTCTATGTGGAATAATTAATAAATACATATGGAAAGTGTCAATGGAACACAGATGATGCCCCCGCTTGCATACAACGTTATAAAGGGATATAACTCAAGAACTGAACGGAACGGAAACAAAAATTCAGCAACTTTTCCATTTGTAAAGGGGCATAACTCTAGAAAGGTAAAACTGATGCCACCAAAATTCAATCTTAATCTGTGTTTTATGGTAATAAGCATTGTGTATCAGTTTCATAACATTTGGTTGAGGTAAACTAAAGTTAGAGAACGGAAACCAATTTTGGGACTATGTACGTACAGACAGACAAGGGTAAAACTTAATGCCCCCTCCATAACGGTGTGGGGCATAAAAAAAGAACACAATTGGTAGGTCCACCAACTTTTTTGCTCAAATTGCTTTATAACCACAAACAAAAAGATCCTAATTGCTCTATATCTATTCTATTTAGAAAAATTGAATGGACAATCCATTATTTTTAAATTGATTTTTTGGAATGATTTAAGCTGTGTTGGGTTTTAATTGGCACAGTGGTTTCAAATTTAGAAATGTAATGCATGAAAGACACGTGGCAGTAATTTACAATCCTGTCCATTTGAGGCACATGAGCTCATAAGCTTATGTTCTCACCATAACAATTTAACAATTTGACTCATCATAAAACAAGCAATGCTTCCTTAGGGATAGAACTAAAACCAAGTGATTGTTTCAAATGGATCAAATAAAAGCATAATAATAAGTCGTATAACAGAGCCAAAATTATATCAAAAATTAGAAATTCCAGTTCGCTACAGTAGGACACACACAAACCTGGCCGTGAGCAACTCTTCTGTAAGCTATTCTAAATATCATGTAGCTCCAAATGAAGTGTAGAACTTGAAGGATGTACAGTAACCCATTAAAAAACATATGTGTGGGGCTTTCTGCCAACCCTTGCACTGTCCTAGATTCTACTGAAGCACAATAAATAATGCTGGAATAGAGATTAAATTTAAACCATAGATATATGTATTATTGTAAGCTAGGCACCTTCATGCTGAAGAGTGGATGAAAGGAAACTTTATCTACTTTAACAAGAGTGCACACGCTGAAATGTCTCGCCTTCTTTACTAATCATTGATATTATGTTGATAGTCCTAAATATAAAGCTTTATTACAACTGTCACATAAACTTAACATTAACCAAGTAAACTAAACATTGAACAATGAACCATGAAAATGAGGTCAAGGTCAGATGAACCATGCTAGGCAGGCATGTACAGCTAACAATTCTTCCATACAACAAATAGAGTTGACCTATTGCTTATAGTTTAAGAAAAACAGACCAAAACACAAAAACTTAACACTGAGCAATGAACCTTGAAAATGAGGTCAAGGTCAAATAAAACCTGCGTGACTGCCAAATAGATCATAAAATATTTCATACACCAAATATAGTTGAACTATTGCATACAGTATAAGAAAAACAGACCAAAACATAAAAACTTAACTATAACCACTGAACCATGAAAATGAGGTCAAGGTCAGATGACACCTGCCAGTTGGACATGTACACCTTACAGTCCTTCCATACACCAAATATACTAGACCTATTGCTTATAGTATCTGAGATAAGGACTTGACCACCAAAACTTAACCTTGTTCATTGATCCATGAAATGAGGTCGAGGTCAAGTGAAAACTGTCTGACGGGCATGAGGACCTTGCAAGGTACGCACATACCAAATATAGTTGAACTATTGCACATAGTATTAGAAAAAAAGACCAAAACTCAAAAACTTAACTTTGACCACTGAACCATGAAAATGAGGTCAAGGTCAGATGACACCTGCCCGCTAGACATGTACACCTTACAATCATTCCATACACCAAATATAGTAGACCTATGGCATACAGTATAAGAAAAATAGACCAAAACACAAAAACTTAACTATAACCACTGAACCATGAAAATGAGGTCAAGGTCAGATGACACCTGCCAGTTGGACATGTACACCTTACAGTCCTTCCATACACCGAATATACTAGACCTATTGCTTATAGTATCTGAGATATGGACTTGACCACCAAAACTTAACCTTGTTCATTGATCCATGAAATGAGGTCGAGGTCAAGTGAAAACTGTCTGACGGGCATGAGGACCTTGCAAGGTACGCACATACCAAATATAGTTGAACTATTGCACATAGTATTAGAAAAAAAGACCAAAACTCAAAAACTTAACTTTGACCACTGAACCATGAAAATGAGGTCAAGGTCAAATGACACCTGCCCGCTAGACATGTACACCTTACAATCATTCCATACACCAAATATAGTAGACCTATGGCATACAGTATAAGAACAAGAGTGCACACGCTGAAATGTCTCGCCTTCTTTACTAATCATTTATATTATGTTGATAGTCCTAAATATAAAGCTTTATTACAACTGTCACATAAACTTAACATTAACCAAGTAAACTAAACATTGACCAATGAACCATGAAAATGAGGTCAAGGTCAGATGAACCATGCTAGGCAGGCATGTACAGCTAACAATTCTTCCATACAACAAATATAGTTGACCTATTGTTTATAGTTTAAGAAAAACAGACCAAAACACAAAATCTTAACACTGAGCAATGAACCTTGAAAATTAGGTCAAGGTCAAATAAAACCTGCGTGACTGACATATAGATCATAAAATATTTCCATACACCAAATATAGTTGAACTATTGCATATAGTATTAGAAAAAAAGACCAAAACTCAAAAACTTAACTTTGACCACTGATCCATGAAAATGAGGTCAAGGTCAGATGACACCTGCCAGTTAGACATGTACACCTTACAATCATTCCATACACCAAATATAGTAGACCTATTGCATACAGTATAAGAAAAACAGACCAAAACACAAAAACTTAACACTGAGCAATGAACCTTGAAAATGAGGTCAAGGTCAAATAAAACCTGCGTGACTGACATATAGATCATAAAATATTTCCATACACCAAATATAGTTGAACTATTACATATAGTATTAGAAAAAAAGACCAAAACTCAAAAACTTAACTTTGACTACTGAACCATGAAAATGAGGTCAAGGTCAGATGACACCTGCCAGCTAGACATGTACACCTTACAATCATTCCATACACCATTTATAGTTGACCTATTGCATACAGTAATAGAAAAAAAGACCAAAACTCAAAAACTTAACTTTGACCACTGAACCATGAAAATGAGGTCAAGGTCAGATGACACCTACCAGTTGGACATGTACACCTTACAATCATTCCATATACCAAATATAGTAGACCTACTGCTTATAGTATCTGATATATGGACTTGACCACGAAAACTTAACCTGGTTCACTGATCCATGAAATGAGGTCGAGGTCAAGTGAAAACTGTCTGACGGGCATGAGGACCTTGCAAGGTACGCACATACCAAATATAGTTATCCTATTACTTATAATAAGAGAGAATCTAACATTACAAAAAATCTTAACTTTTTTTTCAAGTAGTCACTGAACCATGAAAATGAGGTCAAGGACATTGGACATGTGACTGACTGAAACTTCGTAACATGAGGCATCCATATACAAAGTATGAAGCATCCAGACCTTCCACCTTCTAAAATATAAAGCTTTTGAGAAGTTAGCTAACGCCGCCGCCGGATCACTATCCCTATGTCGAGCTTTCTGCGACAAAAGTCGCAGGCTCGACAAAAACCAAACAATTTAATTCTTCCTAAAAACAAGTTAACCTTATGATAAATGCACGTTTAAATAATTATTTCATAAAAAAATGTCAGAATTTTCTCCGGTTATTAATAGGAAAATGTTGTGCAAGAAAGGAACATTAAGTACATAAATGAAAATTTGAAATCTGAAAAAAAATATGCATTAGATTCAATCAGGAAATGACTGTTATCTAGTAGATAAAAAGTCATGGACTGTTTACATGCTTTAGAAGTACGAACAGGGTAGTTTTGTGCCTTTCTAAAGATAAGACTTCCATCCACTCTATTAATAAACGATCTAATCTGTTCCATCATGTTAGTTTTTCACTGAAATAAATAATATAAGTTACTAAATGTATAACCACATCAACATCGTGCAATTTGTAATAACTAAGTTTGTACCAGATTTTGTGAAGAATCTACAGAAATAAAATTTAAGCGGTAATATCCTTAAAACATGTATTACTATTAAGAAATCATGTCTTATTTTTGAATTTCATAAAATTTTCATCTTTAACAGCAGAATTTTTTTATCATTTTTGATTGTATGTATTTCCAAAATTTATGTACAAATTTGAAATAGTTCTAAAAAAACCTTATTTTTGGGGTCAAAAAAGTCCTTAAGGGCATACGATACAGTTACAGATTAGGTAATGACATCGCTAAGGTAAAATGTTATTTTTCGTGACGTCAAACTGTGACATATTGAGAAAAGATCCATTTTTCAACTAATTTTTATCATTCAGACTGATTTAACTTGAAAACAAGTTCATGGACCCCTCTTTTTAAAAATTCCATTTGGCTTGATTATGTATGAAGATTATTTGTGCCAATTTTTATGAACAAATCACAGATGAATTTTTTTTAAAATTAGATAAATATATGCCTAAAATGCAGTTTTTTTAACTAAAATCGTGAAAATGTGGGATCAAAACTGTATCGTATGCCCTTAATGCTCATACTCCTTTTGCTACATTGTGACAAAAAACTGTATCAAAACTTAAATGCAGCAAACTTTGTATCTTTTTGGCAGAATATAAATGTAAATATCAATCTCAAGTTATTACAAATATAGGATGTCAGTTAATTTGCATGCCCTTTCCCTTCTATAAGCAGCCTAAGTAATTTTTGGAACATCTGATCATATAGATAGATAATTGGATAACAAGTTGTTTATAAATGTGGCAAGTGTGGAATACCTGAAACTAATTGAAGGGACATCATACAATGTAGGAATGGACAGCATGTGATGCTCTGTGGAACCTAATGATGTTAAAGGGACAGGTATGGGTACAAAAGCTATATAAAGCTAAAAAAATAGTGCATGCATTGTTGTGCTAAGACAGTCTATAATACCCTGAACCTTAGGGTTGTAAAACAGCATGTGATACACTGAACCTTCACATTGTAAGACATCATGTGATACCCTGAACCTTAACATTGTAAGGCAGCTTGGAATACCCTGAACCTTAACATTGTAAGGCAGCTTGGAATACCCTGAACCTTAACATCGTAAGACACCATCTGATAACCTGAACCTTAACATTGTAAGACGCCATCTGATCCCCTGAACCTTAACATTATAAGACAACATCTGATACCCTGAACCTTAACATTATAAGACAACATCTGATACCCTGAACCTTAACTTTGTAAGACACCATTTGATACCCTGAACTTTAACATTGTAAGACACAATCTGATACCCTGAATCTTAACATTGTAAGACAGCAGGGATACCCTGAACCTTACAGTTGTAAGACAGCTTGGGATACCCTGAACCTTAACTTTGTAAGACACCATCTGATACCCTGAACCTTAACATTATAAGACACTATCTGATACTCTGAACCTTAACATTGTAAGACACCATGTGATACCCTGAACCTTAACATTGTAAGACAGCATGGGATACCCTGAACCTTAACATTATAAGACACCATCTGATACTCTGAACCTTAGCATTATAAAACACCATCTGATACTCTGAAACCCTGAACCTTGAAATTATAAGACACCATCTGATACCCTGAACTTCACATTGTAAGACACCATCTTATACTCTGAAACCCTAAACCTTAACATTATAAGACACCATCTGATACCCTGAACTTTAACATTGTAAGACAGCATGGGATACACTGAATCTTAACATTGTAAGACACCATGTGATATGCTGAACCTTAACATTGTAAGACAACATCTGATACCCTGAACTAAGTGAACTTTTAACATTTTAAGACACCATCTGATACCCTGAACCTTAACACTGTAAGGCACCATGTGATATGCTGAACCTTAACATTTAAGACACCATCTGATACCCTGGACCTTAACATTGTTAGACACCATGTGATACGCTGAATCTTAACATTATAAGACACCATGTAATACCCTGAACTTTAGCATTATAAGACAACATCTGATACCCTGAATCTTAACATTGTAAGACACCATGTGATACCCTGAACCTTACGGTTGTAAGACAGCTTGGGATACCCTGAACCTTAACATTGTAAGACACAATGTTGTACCCTGAAACTTACGGATTTAAGACACCATGTGATACCCTGAACCTTCACTTTGTAAGACACCATCTGATACCCTGAACCTTAAACAATGTAAGACACCTTATATATTATACCCTGAACCTTAACACTTAAAGTCTCCTTGTGATATCCTGAACCTTAACACATTGGAAGACACCATGTGATGCCCTGAATTATAAAAAATTGTAAGACACCATGTGATACCCTGAACCTTAACATTGTAAGACACCAAATGATACCCTGAATAGTAACATTGCAGGACAGCAATAATTACCCATTCCATCATTTAGGACAGAGGAACACCAAGAAAGACCTAAATATTCAACAATTTCACCCAACATGGGCAGCATTGGAGATTATAAATTTAATGTTAAGATGAGTTTGTTTAACATGAATACAGTGTTTTTATTATGCTTTTAGACTGCTTCTATAACATAAGCACATGGACATGCTATATAATATGGATAAGATTACTGGACCTGATAATCCCTAGACTAAATCACTACATGCTTAGCTAAAGAAAAACTTGATCCTTGTATTTACAACTTATGTCAACACAAAGACAGACCTTGCCCTGTGTTAGTTTGTGGTAGACTATCCTTATAATCATGTATGTCCATATAATATGGAGGATCTGTAAGACATAAAGTAATCCGTTGAAAAAAATAAATGCATAACTCCCTCGTGAACCCTTAATGATTCCAGACTCAAATGTCGCTGAGTATACAACACTGAAATAAAAGTGTAAATCATAAAACTGTTATGAACAATTGTAACTTATAAACCTATAATTGCTACATACAGCAACATAATATCAACAGGTATCTCTCTTTAAAATTTCATAACAATTATATTTAGAACTGATTTTCTGTATGTGACACTTTAATAAAATAAAATTTATCATTTATCTGTATGCATTGTTTTGTTTTTGAAAAGAAAGTTACCTAGTAAATAACAATTTTTGTAATATTCTAATTTAATATTGCAATTTAGATATTTTATTTAAATATACTGAAAACAAGCATTCTGAGAGTATTGCATAGCAATACATAGTCCCCTACCGGTTACCGTTGTACAGGAACAAAATGCTAACTTGATCTATAACTTGTCATGGTGTAAACTATATAACAAATATCAAGTCAATATTTTCAAGCATGAAGAAAAAAAGTGTGGAAAACTGTTTATTTAATTGAATTTTCAAAGTCCAAGGACCATAACTCTGCACAAAATCACAAGAGTGCACACGCTGAAATGTCTCGCCTTCTTTACTAACCATTGATTTTATGTTGATAGTCCTTAATACAAAGCTTTACTACGAGTGACACATAAACTTAGCATGATCCAAGAAAATGAGGTCAAGGTCAGATAAACCAAACGAGAAATACATGTACACCTTACAATTATTCAATAAACCAAACATAGTTGACCTATTGCTTATTGTTTTTAAGAAACAGTCTTAAACGAGAAAACTTAACATTGACCAATGAACCATGAAAATGAGGTCAAGGTCAGATGAACCATGCCTGACAGACATGTACACCTTACAATCAAGTTAGGCATTAAATATAGTTGACCTATTGCTTATAGTATCTAAGAAACAAACTTAACCATGAAAACTTAACATTGACCAATGAACCATGAAAATGAGGTCAAGGTCAGATGATACCTGCCAGACAGGTATATACACCTTACAATCCTTCTATACATCAAATATAAATGATCTATTGCTTATAGTTGAAGAAAAACAGACCAAAACACAAAAACTTAACACTGAGAAATGAACCGTGAAAATGAGGTCAAGGTCAAATAAAATCTGTGAGACTGACATGTACATCATAAAATATTTCCATACACCATTTATAGTTGACCTATTGCATATAGTATTAGAAAAAAGACAAAAACTCAAAAACTTAACTTTGACTACTGAACCATGAAAATGAGGTCAAGGTCAGACAACACCTACCAGTTGGACATGTACACCTTACAATCATTCCATATACCAAATATAGTAGACCTACTGCTTATAGTATCTGATATATGGACTTGACCACGAAAACTTAACCTTGTTCACTGATCCATGTAATAAGGTCGAGGTCAAATGAAAATTGTCTGACGGGCATGAGGACCTTGCAAGGTACGCACATACTAAATATAGTTATCCTATTACTCATAATAAGAAAGAAATTAACATTACAAAAAATGTTGACTTTTTTTTCAAGTTGTCACTGAACCATGAAAATGAGGTCAAGGACAATGGACATATGACAGATGGAAACTTCGTAACATAAGGCATCTATATACAAAGTATGAAGCATCCAGGTCTTTTAGCTTCTAAAATATAAAGCTTTTAAGAAGTTAGCTAACGCCGCCGCTGCCTGATCACTATCCCTATGTTGAGCTTTCTGCGACAAAAGTCGCAGGCTCGACAATAAGACCAGAACAAAATTCGAAATTGATCTGTTACTTGTCATGATAAAACTATATAGCAATTATCAAATCAATATCTTCAAGCACAACGAAAAAAAGTGTGGAAAACTGATTTGCCGGACTGACAGATGGACAGACAGACAGACAGACAGACAGACAGACAGACAGAGTGCAAACCTAAAGTCCCCTTCAAATTCGTAGGTAGGGGACTAAAAATCAAAAGGTCATTTGTAAAAACTTCAATAAAATGCTAATCTAGAAGATATACTATTTGTTACTGACTGAAACTTCTTAAGAAATTATGCATATACAAACAGAGATATTTATATTCTTAACTATTGTATATTATTTTCTATATTTTAAGGCATACAATACAGTTACAGGGGAGGTAATGACTTTGCTAACATAAAATGTTATTTTTCTGGACGTCAAACTATCACATATCGGAAAAGATGCATTTTTCAACTGATTTTAATCATTAGCTTGAAAACAAGTACATGGATCCTTCATTTTAAAAATGACATTTGGCTTGATTATGTATGAAGATTATTTGTACCATTTTTATGAACAAATCACAGATGAAATTTTTTTAGATTAGAAATATATAGCAAAAACTGCCTGTTTTTCCTAAAATCATGAAAATAAAAAAAAATGAATTATTTCCAAAGAATGGTTACACAAATTAAGATCACACTTATTTAAGGAAGATGTTTTTTATGCTTTTACAAAAATCCGCACGTATATCTTTTGAAACAAAAATGGAGAATGTGTCCATGGGACACAGATGATGCCCCCGCTTGCATATAATGATATAAAGGCACATAACTAGAGAACTGTAAAAGTGACGCCCCTCAATCAAATTTAACCTGATAGAAAAATGCCCAAACTCTGAACAGGACACAGCAGGTTGAAAGAATTCAGTGACTTGTTACTCATACATTTGCTGTGCCTTACAGAACAATAAGATGACAAGTGTTATGATGTACATTGAATTTAGATAATTATGTATTTCATGTAACTTTAAATGGATGATTAAACAGACAAAGTATGTGTTGAATATGCACATTTTCACAAAAATAATCTAGCTTGAAAACTCTAGAAGAAGTTAAAAGAAACATGACACAATTTTTAGTTGTTTATTTTCTGTAAATAAATTAATAAATATCAGTATTAAAACGTGTTTTGTGCAGTTTTGGCAGTCAAAACTTGAACAATCTGCATTTTTTAGATCAAAGAATCCAGTGTGTGTCATCAGCAATGATTTAAAATTTGATAATGATCATGTGACCTGGATGACATCACAGGTTCCAAACCAAGAAAATATCTCAAACTAGACAATGTCGATCACTTTTCTGGACAATTACATGATAGACGATGTTGACAGCAGTCTTCCTGATAACTCTCAAACTTAAAATATTTTACCTTATCATATTGACCCATTGAGTGTTGAATATAACCAAGACGATGAAGACATTGATTTTTCATCCGAGGAGTGATCGACGTGTTTTCAGCCAATGCCAATCACCTTGTAAACACAGATTAAAACGAAATATTTAATTCAAATTTTTTTTTGTGCTATTGAACTTTGAAAAATTCCTATTGACAACCGATCAGACAGTAGTTTTAAGTTGACTAGAGGCCTCAAAGTACATTAAAAGATGCTTAATAGCTAGTAGATACATTTGTCTTTTAAAATACCACTGGTATATAAGGATGGTAATGATGCTATGTGGATAAATTTATCGGTTTTTAAGAGCTTACTTGACAGCTCATCATCCCTACAATGGCTTCCATTTTTACGATTGAAAACATTGGTGGCGTAATGGGGAGATAATTTTGATGAAGTAGAATCCTGACTGTTTGGTCTGGGGGTCATTATAAAAACGAAGTAAATTCCTGTCACTAATTTTCTTACTTCCTTTAATGCATCCAACAGCAGCAGACAGAACCATTGTTTGTCACAGTGATACATTTTGTTAATAAAGAATCAAAAATAAAATTCCCGTCCGTCAACATGACTACCAGGATGGAAATAGGCATATTGATCAGGTCGATAGATCAATACATTTAAATATATAATTCAACAATTATTTGACTCTTATATTGCTATCAATGTATGTTTTGGGGAAGTTATGTATATACAAACATTTTGGAACAAAAATTAAAAATTATGTCATGTCTCATTTTAATGGCCAAACATTGTAACATATATGTGACCATATAAAAGAATGAATGAAAAGTTTATCCTCACTTATATCTTTGGAAAGCTACCCAGGATATGAACTTTTAAAATATAAAATTTATGGCAGAGGGTTGAGATCATAACTTTTTGCAAGATTTTGAACATTCTCTGATGGCAGGGAATGGGGATGACACGTAGGGACTCACCTTGTATATCATTTAATTCATGTTGATATGAAACACAAGAAAATATATGGTTTAGAAGTGGTGATCTCAACCATTTACAAGATACATGTGTTAAATTCAATAAAATATTCTCAAATGGCAGGGGGTAGGGCTGACCTCTGGAGACCCACCCTATATATCATTTTTAAATTCATCTTAACACGACAAGCAATGCAAGAAAATGTATGGTTTTGGGATGGGCCTGTCATCAAATTTCCAGATATTTGAACATGTAGGGGTGGGGATGACCCCTGAGATATCCACTTAATTTCATTCATTTTGTCTTATCATGTAGAACACTCAGGATGCATTAGATTCTCAATATATTTAAAGGTTTTTGTGTAATTAGAAAAATAATTTTCAAGGTCAAAGGTCAAGATCATAGGTGTCCTTTTGACCTTTAAGATGGTCATATGGTGCCATGATTATCACTAAAGACCCCATGTCACTATCAGTAATTGTTCTCAAGTTATAACCATTGAAACATTTTCTCATAGGGAACTATAGTAAACCTTATAATACTTTTGGCCTTCAAAGTACCCCTTAATAGATTCCAAGGCAAAAACAAAATTCTGATTGCACATGTTAGTCTAACACATTATGTTTATCTGACTAGTGGTTTCTGAGAACTTCTGCGAACAAGTTTAGCATGAGAAACTGTGAGAAGAATAATGTTAATATTAAGAACTAAGCAAAAACAATAAGTCTGCAAAAACAAATCCCTAACTCTTCTTAAAATATCATCTGTCACCTGTGGGCAAAAGTTTTTGATTGAGTTTAAGTATGCCTTGTAAACTCTAGCAAAATGTTACAAAGTTTACTCACACATACTGTAAACCAACTAATTTTCGCGAGCAATTTATTTTTCGCGAGTGGAAAAATAACGCGAATATAAATCGTCGCAAATATGTAAAACTTGGATTTTTCCATATTTAATTACATCAAGTAAATTTGAGAATCGCGAAATTAAGTCGCCTCGAAATGGGCTAGAAAGGGCTAATCACGAAATATAGTATCCGCGAAAATAAGTGGGTTTACAGTAACCTGAAGTAACACAGATCTAGATAATAATACTGTCCTTTATTAGGTACAGCATCAATTTGCCTTACTTTTCACTTACAAGAAAGGAAAGATGATGAGTCTTGTAGCAATCCACACAAGCAAAAATATTCCAAACAGAATTGTTGATAGTGTCTCTTTTTTCGTGTAAGTTGCTATTTTAGCTCCCTGAAGAAAAGAAAGAAAGCTTTATCAGTGTCATAAATACTTATTTCTTTACAAAGCAAGTTACAAGAAATAAATAATTAACTACATGTTTTCAATTTCAATATGTTAAACAAACAAGAGGCTTACCTAGGCCTGTATCACTCCTTTAATGCACATTCATGTTATTTGTGTCATTTTGCCTACATAAAACAAACAAGAGTGCACAGGCTGTAATGTCTCGCTTGCTTTACTGACCATTGATTTTATGTTGAAAGTCTTAAAGATAAAGGTTTTACTAAAAGCATTACAGAAACTTAACATTTTTAAAGATCTATGACAATGAGGTCAAGGTCAGATAAATCATGTCAGACAGACATAAACACATTACAATTATTTTATACACCAAATATAGTTGACCTATTGCATATGCTAATTGTAAAACAGATCAAAACACAAAAAACTTAATATTGACCAATGAACAATGAAAATGAGGTCAAGGTCAGATGATACCTGCCAGACAGACATGTGCACCTTACAATTATTTCAAACACCAAATATAGCTGACCTATTGCTATTAGTTTTTGAAAAACAGACCAAAACACAAAAACTTAACATTGACCATTGAGCCATAAAAATGAGGTCAAGGTCAGATGATTCCTGCCAGACAGACATGTACATTTTACAATCATTCCATACACCAAATATAGTTGACCTATTGCTAATAGTACTTGAAAAACAGACAAAAACACAAATATTCAACATTGACCTGGAACCATGAAAATGAGGTCAAGGTCAGATGATACCTGCCAGACAGACATGTTCACCTTACAATCATACCATACACCAAATATAGTTGACCTACTGCTTATAGTATTTGAGAAACGGACCTAATCACGTAACTTTAACCTTGATCACTGATCCATGAAATGAGGTTGCGGTCAGGTGAACTCTGTCTGACGGACATGTAGACGTTGCAAGGAACCCATTTACCAAATATATATATCCTATTACTCGTAATAAGCGAGAAATTCACATGACAAAAAACTGAAACTTTTTTTCAAGCAGTCGCTGAACCATGAAATTGAGGTCAAGGACAATGGACATATGATTGACTGAAACTTCGTAACATAAGGTATCTGCATACAAGATATGAAGCATCCAGGTCTTCTACCTTCTGAAATATAAAGCTTTATACAAATAATTTACGCTGCCGGATAGTAATACCTGTGTCTTGCATACTGCGACTTTCGTCGCAGGAAAGACAAAAATGCAAACACCAAATATAGTTGACCTACTGCTTAAAGTATTTGAAAAGAAAATGATGTCAAGTGTATGGATCTCTACCAAATTGTACCACAAGGTTCCATACCACAAAAGGAAGGTTGGGATTGATTTTGGGGTTTATTGTCCTATCTGTTTAAGAATTAGGGGCCAAAAAGGGGCCGACAACAATTATGTTTCTTGTTTCAGGACAATAACTTGTGTATAAGTGTATGGATCTCTATGAAATTGTACCACAAGGTTCCATACCTCAAAAGGAAGGTTGGATTGAAGTTGGGGGTCATGGTCCAAACTGTTTAGGAATAAGGGGCCAAAAAACTAGGATTATTAATGTTTCCAGACAATAACTTGAGTATAACTCTATGGATCGCTATAAAATTGTACCACAAGGTTCCATACAGTAAAAGGAAGGTTGGGATTAATTAAGTGGTCAGATCAAAAGAAGGTATAATATAGTTAATCAAAGTGCTTGTAAGCACTGAAGGTTAAAGATTGCTTTAATCTATTAGTGGAAAGTAAAATTAAACATTGCATTGTCAAAACATTGGTTGTAGTTGATTCAACTACAAATATATATGGACAAAGGAAGATAACTCCAATTTTAAAGATTACTTGAACAATGACATCATTGATATTTTTAGAACAGATATAAGATTACTGCACCTTGCACAAGTTATGTAATTTTCTTGACAAGTATAACATTATTTTGTAACTTGAATATCTGAGAATATATTTCATTGATAAATTTCTTGAAATGTTCATGGATAGGATGTTTACAATGTTATGATCAATGCACTATATTTTGTGTAACTCAAAAGTAGTGTGATAAACCTTGGAAGATTTAGATATCAAGTCAGTACCATAGGGTTTTGATTGCATTTCATGCAATCTTTACCCAACAACACATAATGGCAAACATTACTACCACGTATTAAGGCTTTCATATATAAAAGAACAGAGTCCAATGTCCCCCGCATTGCACATTTTTTATCTATTCAAGATACAAAGGCAATAACTGAAAAAAACCTTTTTTTTTCTTCTTTAAAACAATTTATAATATCATAGAGAAATAAAGGCTTCAGAGCAAATGCAATGCGATTTCTGTTACATTTTTCCAAGGCATAACTCGTTAAAAATATTTGATCAGCACTTATTTTTGAAAGTGTCAAAGACATTGCTGATATAAACCTATGGTATAAGTTTCATAAAATTCTGGCAAGAATTTGTACACATGAGAGCACTTACAATGATATTTTCCATATAGTCAATATTTCCAAGGGACATAACTCTTTTAAAAATAATTGATCGACAGTGATTTTCAAATTTGTTTGAGACATTGATGATATAAACCAATAATATATATTTCATAAAAATCTGGTAAGAATTGTACACATGAGAGTGCTAACATTGCAATTTTCCATATAATCAATATTTCCAAGGGGCATAACTCTTTTAAAAAATAATTGATAGGCACTGATTTTTCGAACTCTTCAAAAACATTGATGAAATAAACCTATAATATAAATTTCATAAAAATCTGGCAAGAATTGTACACATTAGAGCGCTCATAAGGCAATTTTCCATATAACTAATATTTCCAAGGGGCATAACTCTTATAAAAAAAATTGATAGGCACTGATTTTCGACCTCAACCAAGACATTGCTAATATAAACCTATGATATAAGTTTCATAAAAATCTGGCAAGAATTGTACACATGAGAGCACTAAAGATGCAATTTTCCATATAATTAAAGTTTCTAAGGGGCATAACTCTTTTAAAAATAATTAATCAGCACTGATTTTCGACCTGTCCAAGACATTGCTGATATAAACCTATGATATAAGTTTCATAAAAATCTGGTAAGAACTGAAAATGTGAGAGGGCTAACAAGACCGGACAGACAGACGGAAGGATGGATGGAGGCCCGATATTTCTATTCTGCCAAAAACAGTTTCAGAGGAGTTGAATTCACAAGGTGCTGTTTCAATACTCCAGCAAAAGGTTTATACAAAGTCCTCAGAAATGGTCCTGATTATAAATATACTACAGGTCGATTTATAGTTTGTTGTAATGTTGTACTTAATATTTAAGTGTCTGTTGTTTATACTGTACATATTTCTCCTTTGGTTAGTGGATGTGTGTTTTGTAATAATGAAAAGTATATAACACCTGAGTAAACATCGAGAAAAACAGATACCTCCTTGCAAAAATCTTTTGACCTGACATTAAAAACCTGCATGAATAAGTTTCTGTCCTTAATTCCAACTTTCCTAAATATGTGCCCAAAGAACAAAATCCTTAAAGTCACACATAATGAGTTCTTAGTACATTTAATTCAAGCAATATTTTAATTATCTTGATTTCCTTCAGAACTTTCCATTTGAACTCATGATTTGTAAAATTAAGCATTTAGTACTCATATCAACAATATAATCAACATAATTCAAAGTCCCGCTCTATCCCATTATAGATAAACTCCTGTGTAAATACATGTATTATGCAGCAGTGCCAGTTGTATCCAGGTTTGAATGAAACATAAATCATAAATGAACTATAACTTTTATTATTTTATATTCATCACTTAATTTGGCCCTTGGGGAATCTACTCAGCTAAAATTAAAATAGTTGCTCCATGCCTAAACCAAGAGCCTATGGGCCTACTGAAAAGTAGCAATGTATAGACCCCTGGCTTGACATCACACCAATCCAATTGGAACTATGGTTCCAAATAAATGTGTGAGGCTATCAGGAAGCCTATAATGAGTCTATGAGGAAGCCTAGTATGTGACTATGGAGAAGCCAAGTAGTGTTGATGTTGAATTGGTGTTGGAATGAATTTGCAAGAAATTATCTCTAGATATTCTTGGGGGACGAGTGAAATTTTTGAAACAACCGGTGATAAAATTTCATAAATGTCCAGACATTAGATGCTGAGGTTATTTATCTGATCCATGCCTAAACCAGCAGCCTATGTGCACACTTAAAAGTAGCAAAGTATAGACCCCTGGCTTGACATCACACTAATCCAACTTAGCTCTGAGAAGTAAATTGTTGCACCACTGGTAGCTAAGATCCACTAATATGAATTGATGTTGGAATGTATTTTTAAGCAATTTGTATAACATATACATATACAAAAAAAAACAATAACAAGAGGCTCTCAAGAGCCTGAATCGCTAACCTGTAGTTTTTTGTTTTTAATGTAAAATTACCTTTAAAGGGCAAAAACTCCTTAAGGGGTCAATTGACAATTTTGATCATTTGAATTATTTGTAGATCTTACTTTGCTGAACATTTTTGCTGTTTAAAATTTATCTTTATCTATGATAATATTCAAGATAATAACCAACAAGAGTGCACACGCTGAAATGTCTCGCCTTCTTTACTAACCATTGATTTTGCGTTGATAGTCATAATTATAAAGCTTTACTACAAGTAACACATAAATTTAACATGATCCAAGAAAATGAGGTCAAGGTCAGATAAACCAAAGGAGAAATACATGTACACCTTACAATCATTCAATAAACCAAACATAGTTGACCTATTGCTTATAGTTTCTAAGAAACAGTCTTAACCAAGAAAACTTAACATTAACCAATGAACCATGAAAATGAGGTCAGATGAACCTTGCCAGACAGACATGTACACCTTACAATCAATTTATGCATTAAATATAGTTGACCTATTGCTTATAGTATCTAAGAAACAAACTTAACCATGAAAACTTAACATTGA